GGCTCTTCATTTGTGTAATAGGAAGATTGTGAAGCTGCCCTTGTTTTCATCCAGTCTTTTCTCTGTTTGGAAAAGCTCCAGGTCTGCGTCCGAAGACCACAGCAAATTTCTGGTTCTCCAGAAGCTTCTGGAAAGCGAATCCCGTTCGGCTTTTTACCAAGAAGGCGTGAGCTACACGCTGCTGAAGGTCTCGGAGCTCGGGCTGGTTCGAGCGGCTGAAGTCCTTTTGCACAATGGGGCAGACATCACCTTCGAAGGTCGGGCTTGCCAGCCTCCCCTCTTTCGCCTTGGTTTCATTTTAGGGGAGAGGGAAAACTTCGGGGGGGGGGTGTTGACCTGGAAGGGGAAGGGGTGGGCGGCTTCCTTTAGTTGTGTACCCCAGCTCTGCCACTAAAGGGGGTTGTAATTCAAATTTGCAACCTGCTGCTTTGGAACAAGTACCGTTCATCATTGCATTGCCTGTTTCTCACCGGTAGATGTCGCTGTGCTACTGTTGTCATTTGAAGGGATAAGATCGGTGTAGGTAATCCTCAGACTTACGACTGCGTCAAGTTACGTCTGCCCCCCTTTTCCCCCCAAAAGGTACTTAATTATTTGGTGCCAGCCCCCTCCTGTGATTGCATCTTGGCCCGTATTTACTGCAACTGCATGGTTGCAAAAATGCCCCCTAGCAAACATTGGTTCACTTAATGACCACGGCGTTCATTCAACAACCGTTGCAAAAGAGGGGGTGATCAGATCGTGTTGGTTTCACGGGGGACTGTTGTGACTTATGACCGTAATAGTCAGGCCTCATTACAGTTGGAAGTTGAGGACTTTGGGTATATTTGGTAGAATCACGTGACTCCTGGGACACTGAGGTCATCGTAAATGGGAGTAAAGTGGCCGTCCGAATTTTGATCCCGGTCTTTAAGTCTGAAAATTGGGTCACAAGTCTGTATCGCCTGTATTTTCTCTTCCTGGCCACTAGCTCCACCCCCTTTGTCCACAGGCCCCGCCCCTTAGTTGGTATGCACAGCTAAGAATGGCAAGGCGAGCCTCAGGCTCCGCCTCCTGAGTTCCAAGCTCCTCCTACAGATGATGTGCCTGGCAACCGTCTCCGGAGCAACATGGCGGCTTCCCGGCGAGGCTGTCTGTCTGATCTTTTCACGGGTCTTTGATTTGGGGTGGGGGTGGGCGATGGGGAGGAAGCGGGGGGCCGGCTGCTTCTTCCCCTGCTGGCTTTCCTATTGCGGGGGGACGGTACTGAACGGTAGGTTTTCTTCCTGCCAGCTCTTGCAACGCCAGCCTTGTAGGGTAGGACAGCAGATGTTTTAGAAATTGGGAGGGGGCTCGAGGGGCCACGGTCAGCCCTTGAGCCAAAGCTGGAAGGCACGTGGACCTCCTTAACAAGGAGAAAACTCTGTTTGGGGTTTTTGCACGGATTGTTTTCTGATGAACATGTTCTACTTTTCATAGATCCGGTCACCTATTACACAGCCTTGCACATCGCGGTGCTACGAAACCAGCCGGATATGGTTGAACTCCTGGTGCAGCGTGGCGCAGATATCAACCGTAGAGACAGGGTTTGTAGCCAGCTAAATCTTGTGTGTGTGTGTGTGTGTGTGTGTGTGTGTGTGTGTGTCTTAAAACTTATTTTTTTTGATGGTTCTGAGGTTTCGCAATACTAAACCATGCAGACATGGCCGAGAGGGTGGATTAAGAAGACTGGGGGTCCCAGTTCTCCTTGTCAGTACCCCACTTCATATCGATGGAGGAAAAAGCAATGGGGTGTGTGGGTGTAAACCCCACCACCACCCCACATTTGAGGTGGGGGGAGGAGAAGAAAAGGGAAGAGATGATACATGGCTGCAGCGTTTTCGTCCCTGGAGCAACAGTGCAAAATCAGCAAAACCTCTAGTGCAAATGGGGTGCCTTTGTATGGGGACTTGGGGTCCCCTTAAAACAAGTCAAACCAGTTCCCCAAATGGAGCCACTTAGGGAGTGACACCCTCCCCCTAAGCCGAGTGGGTGTAACTGGGGGAAAGAGTAGGAGATGACCGAACTGAGTTGGAGGGCGGAGTTAAATGTGTCATCAGCTTGGAGTCAATGTGCAGCCACAAGACAGACCTTCCTTGAATTCCCTTTCACTCTTTATCTGGTGCCAATTTGGCTTTAACCATTGGTTGACCAGATTCTTATGTATGGGTAGGAGAGATAGTCCTCGACTTACAAGAACCCCAACGTTTCTGTTGCTAAGCAAGATGATAGTTAAGGGAGTTTAGCCCCCGTTTTATGACGTTTCCTGCCATGGATTCATTAAACAGGTTTAAAGAGGTTGTGTGAATGCACAACTGGTGACTTAGCTGCCTTGGGGTCACCTTGTTAGAAGCCCCAGGGGCAAAGTCAGCTCAATTCCTTCCTTCCAGGGGTTCACTGGATGTGTCTGCATGGGGATAATTTTAGACAGGAGTTAAATGTAATGGAAAAGCATCGATTTCAGGTCGAAAGAAACAGGACTCTTAATATTCCTCCCATCTCTCCAATTCTTCTTAGATCCATGAAAGCAGCCCTTTGGATCTAGCCAGCGAAGAGCCAGAACGCCTGCCTTGTCTGCGGCGTCTCCTAGAACTCGGGGCCAATATCAACGCTGCTGATAAACATGGTTAGTGGTTCTACCTTTTTCCCCCCCCTCTGGTTTCCTTAAACCCAGGGCTCGCCAACCTTTTGGATCTCGGGGACCACCAAACTCATCATTTTAAATTCCGCGGACCGGAGACCCTGGGAAAATCCCCCCCAAAAAAGTCTGCAGGAAAATTCCTACCGATCGATCGTTCTTTATTTGGGATTGCAGGATACCATCTCCAGCTATGTTCTCAGAGGGGGAGATTTTTGGCTCCATGCAAGGAAAGCAGCAGAAGTCTTTCTTTCTCTCCCCCAAACTCCGCCAGAAATGAGTCTTGGCTGGCACAGCCTCTTGGAGCAGGAGGCCTTGCAAGGGCCCAAAGACTCATTTCTGGCGGAGTTTGGGGGAGAGAAAGAAAGACTTTGGCTGCTTTCCTTGCGTGCAGCCAAAAGCAGAAGAAGAAAGAAGCAGCCCGGTTGCCAGATGAGGCATGTGGGGCAAGTCCCCCCCCCCCCCCCCCCGCCCCCCCCCCCCTCCTCTCACTACCTCATGTTGTTCTCAATGCAAGCAACACAAGCCTTGCGTTCCCACAGCCTGGATTAATTGCTATGTGGGGGGGGAGCTATTTCTCTGCGGACCACCAAAACGTTCTCATGGACCACCAGTGGTCCCCGGCCCACTGGTGGTCGACCACTGCCTTAAACCCCAGCAGTTCAATTCTAGCTTCCTCGGGAATCCTTCCTTCAGACGCCAGGGATTCATCTCCCAGAATTCCCCACCTGGCGTTGAGATACTGGAATTGGGCTTCTTGGCTTGTCCTTCCTTTCCTCTTCCCTCCTCTTCCGCTCTTCCTCTCATCCCTCTCTCCTTCCCTTCAGGAAAGACCGCTTTGCTGCATGCGCTGGCCAGCAGCGACGGCGTTCAAATCCACAACATCGAAAACATTCGCCTCTTGTTGGAAGGAGGTGAGTTGCTTCCCGTCCGTCCTTCTTCAAGGCTATTTTTTTGGGGGGGGGTGGGGGCAAATTCTACCCCGTTTTCAAGCAGAGCTTTGAGGAATTTCCAGGTTCGGCTGCAAGGGGGAAAAAAAAGGATTTTCTGCGATGCGGAAAAAGTTATTTTTTTTTTCCTTTTGCCGGTTCTCAACCTGGAGGAAGAGAATTTGCTTCTGAAATCTCATTCAAAGATGAAGAGAATTGCCCCAATTTAGTGACAGGAGGGTGAAGGAGGACAGGTAGACTTAAGGCCACAACTGGACCAGAACGTCTGTGGCTAAACAAATAGGAGAATAATAGGGTTGGAAGGGACCTTGGAGGTCTTCTAGTCCAACCCCCTTGCTCAGGCAGGAGACCTAGACCCTTCTGGACCAACAGCTGTCCAATCTCTTCTTAAAAACCTCCCGTAATGAAGCACCCACAAGTTCTGGAGGCAAACAGTTTTGTTTGCAGATGTTTCATTACCCAACTAGGTAACAAGAGCACAACTCCAGTGTTGGAGCACCCACAACTTCATGAGGCAAGCTGTCCCACTGAATAATTGTTCTCAACTGTCAGGAAATTCCTGTTTAGTTCCAGGTTGCTTCTCTCCTTGATGAGTTTCCATCCGTTGCTTCTTGTCCTGCCTTCGGGGGCTTTGGAGAATAGCTGGACTCCTCCTCTTCTTTGTAGAGTAGCAAACATACTAGTAAGCTGTCCAAAACCTTAAGAGCCCTCAAATGTACTAGTAAGGTCTCCAAAACCTTAAGAGCCCCTCAAATATACTAGT